TGTCACCGCCCTGATCCGCGGCCCCAGGCCTGGGCCCGCCCCTATCCTGCCCTCTGGGCTTGGACCCGACTCTTCCCCGCCTCCTGAGTCATGGTCACGCCCCTTCTCCCGCCCCGGCCACGCCCCCGGGCTTGGGCCCCACCCCACCCCACCCCGCCCCTGAGTCCTGGCCCTGCTTCTGCTCCTCTGGGTCCAGTCCTTCCCCTGTCGCGTGTGCTTTCCCTTTCCTGCCCTGCCTCTTGGGTGGGCTCCTTGGGGCCTGGCCGCTGCAGTCTGTCGGCTAGAGCAGGCTGCGGTGGCGTTTGTAGTCTGCGCTGTCTGCCTCCGCTCCTGGGGGCAGTGGCCCCTCCTCGCCACCCGAGCTGTTCTGGGGTTGTCCTGAGGTCGCCTCGGAATCTTGGTTAGACCCATTCTAGTCAGGTTGGGTTCGATCCTCCCCAGCCCAAATGCTGTATGTGGCTTTGCTCGTTCACATAGTTCTCCCTGTGTTGATAAGCAGGACTTGGAGGGAAGCCAGAGACCCACGTTTCTGCCCAGCCCAAGTAGGCCTTTGTGGGTTCCCGGGTTACTAGTCTGGAGATGATTCGACATAATAAGCACAGGTTTCAGTACTAGAAGGGACCTCAAAAAAGGAAAAAAAACTTTAAAGAATTGGATGTCTCAAAAAAGTACCAATACAGTTATTGTGGGTAAAAATAGACCTTAGTAGTCAAATTTTGATTTAGTATTATTTCTATTTGTTAGCAAGTGGTAGTGATGATCACCATAATGTTTAAAGTTTAAGGCCACAAAACTATTTAATCCAGCCCCGCTCTCCACAGAAACCGCACCTCCGTATCATCTTGGTATTGGTTGTGGGTACCAAGGTATCAGTGTGTGAATACACCCATGTACATATCATAATACGTACACACGGAACTGGCCGAGCCAATCATGGATCCCGGCAGAGAAGAAAACCATCACAAGCCTGGGGTGGAGGGGAGAGAATGAGCTATCAGAGCCAACGTGGCCGATGTAGGGCGTGTCCCTCTCGCTGAGCAAGGAAGATAGTTTGGGAAGGAGTTAAAAAATGTACGTTCCTCTCTGCTAGATTGAATTGCATGTGTGAATGTCATTTTTTTAAAAGATCAGTAATAATCCTTTATGTCTGTTCAGTGCTTGACAGTTTGAAAGGGCTTCCATCTATATTATCTTATTTAATTCTTAGGGCTACCTTTACAGTAAGGTTTCTCATTTTATAGATGAGGAAACTGGGTCTGTGTCCAACTTCAAAGAGCACAGGAAGGTGGGGGTTACTGCTCCATACCTGAGGGAATCTGGAGGAGCTGCCCGAGGCCTACTGGCCTAAACAGGACACGTGGGCTTGGGATTGAACTCCGGGATGCACCTTGTTCTCTCAGATTCACAGATCTCGGGCCATTTGGGGCTGGCAGTCCTTGTACTCTTTCTTCTCAGTAAAACGCTTACACCTAAATCCACCTCCTTCCTCTCTGACTTTCCTCTCACTACTAAGCCTGAGAAATCTGTTCTTCAGGTGGGAAAAACAGACTCGCACCGTTCACACTATCTTCTAGATCTTTTGTTTACTGCCAAATCTCAGCTTTTGAAACCCAAAAGCCAAGAATCAATTTCAGTATTTTCTGGATTTTTCCAAGTCATCTCTTCCCTGAGGCTCTGAAAGGAGAATGTCTAAACCCTGGGTACGGGGGCAACATGGATCACTATGCCAAGAAACCTTCCTTCCCCTCTTTACCCAACAGAAAAGGAGGTGGCACCTTCACCCAAGAGACAAAGTGAATCTGTGTGAGGATTTTAGAGGCTGCCCAGACAACCAGCCTCCATGAGGTTCTGGGAGGGCAGGTAGAAGGGGGGCCTAGCTCCAAATATGGACAAACTAAAGAGAAGCATCATGAATGCAGAGAAAACAGTTGTCACAACGGCAGCCCAAGCCCACAAAGCCAATCAGAATGTGCCCTCGAGACAAACGCCTAAGCTTTCCATCGCAGGTACTGAAGCAATTCCCAATTGTAGACCCAATGCCAGGCATCTAAAATATCCTCCTTTGAGTGTGGAGCTGATAACACCAAGGCCATGGGTTCGGATCCCATATAGGGATGGCCTGTTGGCTCACTGGGTGAGCATCATGCTGACAACACCAAGTCAAAGGTTAAGATCCCCTTACCAGTCATCTTTTAAATAATAATAATAATAATAATAAAACAAAATATCCTCCTTTGACTCCCCATCCCCCTCACTACTGCTCCTATTGCTTCCTCTGCTCAAAATCAAATTTTGTGATGGGTTGTCCAGCTTACGTTTCCATTTCTTCCTTTTTTTTTTTTTTTCGTGACCGGTAACGGGATCGCGACCCTCGGTGTCGCACTCAACCAGTGAGCGGACCGGTCTCTACATGGGATCCGAACCCTCGGCGGGAGCGCCTCCCTCTACCGAGTGTACCACTGGGCGGGCCCTCCATTTCTTCCTTTCAACCCACTCGAAAATAGCTTTAATCAAGGTCATCAATGACCTTGCCCATAAATCATAAGCCGGGTGGATATTGTTCAGTCTTTATTTCGCCAAGCTTTTTGTATTGTATTCAACATAGTTGGCTACTCTTTCCTTTTTTTTTTTTTTTTTTTTTTAAAGATCCTGTAAGGGGATCTTAACCCTTGACTTGGTGTTGTCAGCACCACGCTCACCCAGTGAGCGAACCGGCCATCCCTATATGGGATCCGAACCCGTGGCCTTGGTGTTATCAGCACCGCACTCTCCCGAGTGAGCCACGGGCCGGCCCCTACTCTTTCCTTTTAAACATACTTTTCTTGGCCTCTGTGACACCGCACTTGTTCTCCACGTGCATCTCTGGCCACCCCTCCGTCTCCTTCATCGGCTCCCCTTCCACCATCCTCAAAGATTTTGTCCCTTCTGGGTTAGTTTGTCCATTTCCACAGTCTCCACTGCCTCCCAAATCTGTGTCGTCTGCTCAGAGCTCTTGATTTCCAGACTTCTGTGTCAACCACATGTCCCACCAGCATCTCAAACTCAGCATGGAAGTGAATTCATCTTTCCAACAGACCTGCTCCTTGTCCATCCTGTGTTCCCTCCCAGGGGAAGGAGAGCCATTTGACACGTTCCTCTTCTTCAGGACACCCTCAAGAGTGAGTTCTGTCAGACCTGCCTCCACCATGTCTCTCTGACCCACCCCTTCTGTGCTACCCACTGCCACCACCATAGCACACTGTCCTTTCTCCCAGACAACTGCAGTAGGCTTCAAACAGGTCTTCCTGTCCTTGCTGCCAAAGGGAACTTTTTTTTTTTTTTTGCTGCTGGCGGGTAACAGGGATCAAACCCTGGAGCTTGGTGTTCCCAGCACCACACTCTAACCAACTGCGCTAACCAGCCAGCGTAGAGGGAACTTTCTAAATCCCAAAATGGAACATGCCACTCTCTGACTTAGAACCCTTCCGTGGTTTCCCATTGCCCTCTCTGCCCACCTCTTGAACCTTATTTCCTGCCGTTCCTCCACTTCTGTCCAGCTGCCCCAATTGCGCTCGCAGCATCTCCGACTCAGCCTCTTGTTCTTCTCTAGGATTTTCCTTTTCTTGGAAACCCGCTCTCCCACCTTCACTTGGCTAGTCTCTCCATGTCAGGGCCCAGCTGAGTGTCGCTTCCTCGCTTCTCCTGGGCCAGGTCAGCATGCCCCACTGCATGACACTCCTCACAGGTGTCATTAATGAAGTTGCAATGTCTGCAAACTCCATGGGTTCGAAAATCTGTCTGTCTTGGCCACTACCGTAGCCTCAGGGTGAGCTGGGCTTCTGGTATATAACAGGCCCTTCCTGAATAGGTGTTGAAAGAATAATTATTGGGGGTCCCTGAACCAAGCCTGAAGACCAAGTAGGAGGTGAATCAATGAAGCTGAGACCTCAAGTGTGACCTCCCCACATGGGGCCCGACCCTCCACAGAGCCACTCCACACCTTTTCTATCAACAAAATTTACGGAGTCGACAGGAGGCTCTAAATGACACCACGCAGACCAGAAAGGGACCCTCGCTGACTCGGGTCATGATTACTTACAATCACCTCCACCTAACCTTCACCCTTGGGAGGTAGAGAGGTCCGCTCCCTGTGGCCTCAGGCCTGGAAGCGTGAAAGAACCAGGCAGCCAGCTGGGAACTTTTCAAGGTGTCCCAGACGCTTTCCCCTGGAAATAGGGAGCGGTTTTTCTGTTTTTTTTTAAGGGAGCGGGATTAGTGGGTGAAAGAGGTTTGTGTACTAGGCTGGAGAGTGAGAAAGCCTGTGTCGCAAAGTTTCTTCCTTTTCCCCTCCTTTCCCCATTCCATTTTTTTAGTCCTGCCTCCAAAAAAAGAAAGAAACAAAAGGGAGCGGGAGGGAAGATCAGATGAAAGTAAAAAAAGCGGACCCTAGGGGTTTGGCAGCGGTGGGATTCGAACCCACGCCATCGAAATGACTGGAGCCTAAATCCAGCGCCTTAGACCA